AAAAAAAAAAAAAAGAGGGAAGTACAGGAAATAAAGCCAAGAAACAAATTAAAGAAAACCATGGGAAAGGAGGAGCCAAAAAAAAAAACGAACAGTAACCAATGAAAGCACAAAAAAAGCAAGAACAAAGACAACATCTAACATCATGTAGTATAGGAAATAGCCATAGACTGACAAACGCAATGCTTGAGATAAGGCCATTCATATTTCCACTGGCCTATTTTTTACCGTTCTAGTTTTACTCAGGCTTTCTGAAAGCCAGGGATCAGCTTTATCTTAATAATTTATGACATCCCCTTCAAGTCTAGTACATAATGATGTATAATATCAATGATTGGTTTAAGAACAAGAAAACAATTACCTTCAGTAATACAGGAATGATGTAATAGTCTTCGGCAAGCTTTTCTTGAGTAGGTGGTCTCAACAGACCTCCCAAATTTACTACTTTCTGCAAAATTTGGGAAACCCAGCCACTAGCTGGATCAGTGACTCCCACATTCTGCAATAGTTCACCAGCGGTATACATTTCAAGCTGCATGTAATGAACAGGATTGTCATGCTGCTGGCTGATGCAATTTGTGGACATACGCATGGGGCAGGAAAGAATTTCAGTTCCAGCGTAAATCTCTAAATTTCTCATTTAAAANGACTTTCACCCCCTGTATGGAAAAACTACATCCGTCCATATTACTAGCAGTGTTCAAGGATTGGTGAGCCAAGCTTCCAATGATTTAACAAACAAAAGCAGTAAATATGGCAGTATTAGGAGGTAGTCAAGATCTCTGGGATGGCCAGAAGTTTTAGGTTCCAATCATAAAGGAGAAACAACGAAACCAATTATTATGGAATGGAAATCAATAAAGATTGTAGGACATCCATATGACGATGTTCTTGATTGCTACAGGTAAAGTGAGCCCGGTGAAATAGTATAGTGCACTATTGCTTCAATACAATATTACTAACTCGTCCATCGCACTATTTTTGGACTAGTAAGTTTAATGTTTTAATACACAGGGATGTTTTTTTGTTAAATGGTATACTACAGGGATTAAGTTAAATTTGAGCCCAGACAACAGTGATGTTTTTTGCCAAAACCTCAAAAGAATGCTGCTTGTTCTCATCACAAAAATAAAAGAAAAAGAAAGAAAATAAGTTTCGCCATTTCCACCCCGTTCTCGTTCTTGGTATAGCTTTCACAGTAATACTATTTGAAAAGAGAAAGGTGAAAGGAGGAAAAGTAAACGAGAAGAGGTAAGGGTTATTTCCCTTGCTATACATGAAAGTAAAATGAGAGGAGATGTTAAAACAGAGGGGTAGCATACAACTATAAAATGGAGAGAAAAACACATCTCTTTTATTTCTCTTTCAATTATACCAAATAGCAGGCCATAAATGATGACTAATACTTGAAAAGAAAGCGATGAATTTCTCTTTCATCCACCCTTTCCTCTTTATCTGTGGAACCAAACATAGTATTGATAAATGAAATGCAAATGGAGAACAGCATTCCTACTAACATTACCTCCATTAAATCCTTCTTGTTTGTTACAAGGTACTTCGCTTTTCCGCATTCAGACAAGTGATTCAAGACTGCATGAGCTTCCTTGAATCCGCCAGAAAGTTCCTCGAACATTCTCCATGTAATTACACATGAAGCTGTCCAGTGGCTTTCGGATAATGCTTGGACCACTTGAAGAGCCTTTTCCTAGTTGTTTGTTTTGAGGGGTGGGGGGATTGAAAGATTAGAACATTCAATGAACCATTAAGGAAACTAAAGTGAAATGATTACTAGGGCTACCTCAAAAGGGAGGTACAGGAAATAAAGCCAAGAAACAAATTAAGGAAAACCATGGGAAAGGAGGAGCAAAAAAAACGAACAGTAACCAATGAAAGCACAAAAAAAGCAAGAACAAAGACAACATTTAACATCATGTAGTATAGGAAATAGTCATAGTCATAGACTGACAAAGGCAATGCTTGAGATAAGGCCATTCATATTTCCACTAGCCTATTTTTAACCGTTCTAATTTTACTCAGGCTTCTGAAAGTCAGGGATCAGCTTTATCTTAATAATTTATGACATCCCCTCCAAGTCTAGTACATAAAGATGAATAATATCAATGATTGGTTTAAGAACAAGAAAACAATTACCTTCAGTAATACAGGAATGATGTAATAGTCTTCGGCAAGCTTTTCTTGAGTAGGTGGTCTCAACAGACCTCCCAAATTTACTACTTTCTGCAAAATTTGGGAAACCCAGCCACTAGCTGGATCAGTGACTCCCACATTCTGCAATAGCTCACCAGCGGTATACATTTCAAGCTGCATGTAATGAACAGGATTGTTATGCTGCTGGCTGACGCAATTTGTGGACATACGCATGGGGCAGGAAAGAATTTCAGTTCCAGCATAAATCTGTAAACTTCTCATTTAAAGNTAAATTTCTCATTTAAAATTGATAACACTGTTCAACTAATTGAATTTTAAGATCATTTGCTTACAGTCTATTTTGATGATTAATAAGACAGTTCAAATAAAATAATCTTTATATTTGCTGCAAAAGAGATTGTATCAGAAAGAACAAAAGGCGCGTTAAAAGTTAAAACCCACGTACAGCAGAGTTCACTAAAATGGGGAAAAAAAGAGGGGACCAGATAGACTAATGAAAACCACCAAATCTTATATCCACAAATGATCTCTTCTATCCTTGCAACAAACTAATCTTTTAGAACAATTCATTCTGTTCATCTAGCTTGTCGTGAATTCCATTCCTCCATCAAACTTCATAAACAAGCCGGGACAAGCCTCGTTTCTTGGTTTTGTTTTTTGTAGTGTCAAAGCTACTTTTCTGTTCTTTCTTGCTCTCCCTATGTTAACCTTCTTATCAGCTCTTTCAAATTTGCATTTTAGTGAGTTTGCCTAAGTTTGATATTGGTGCATAGCTGATTGATTGATATAATCTCCCTACGTTCTTGAACACCAATCAGCAAAATAAATAATCTTTTGTTGCTGACTTCCTTCGACATGTGCGCATGTCTTTAAGTCAATCCATAACCCTTCATGTCTTTAATTTCCACAAAATTACATTTTCCCACAATATAAATTTTTTTTAAATTTTTTTTTTGAGAAAGCAATATAAGATGTTCCATTAAGGATTTTGCCCAATTTCCCTTCTTTTTTTTTCTATTTCAAATCAAAGACAGAATCACGCCCAATAATCAAAGCTGGTGGGTGATAAATTTCAGTATGACCTTCTTTCGAGATATTCTAAGATCTCATTCACTTTTTCCATGTTAGAGGAATCTTCACCGTTTCCAATTGTGACTCCACATCCTTCTTATCAGGCGGAGCTTTCCATAGTTTGAACATATACTCAGGTCCCCAAAAATAAGTTTGCCATCATTCATTGCTCTATAGCAAAGCCTTCCTCTTCTAGCATCAGCGCTGAAGCTAATATTCTCTACTATCACCAAATAGTTTCCCCCAACTTCCTTCCATCCTCAGTAACAATTCACCAGGATCCTAATACCGCAGCTTTTAGCCTCTCTATTTCTGAACAATGGTGCCCCGACAAGGTTGTGCGTACTTTAGTTGTCCTACCAGGTATCTGCATATCCACCAATACATGTACTGATTACTTCTATCTGCCCATGTTTGAGCAAATGGAAAGAAACCTTTTTTATAACACTACTGGTTCGAACCCTAGTCTTCCATAAGTATCATACTCTCTATTGTTTCACTAATGCAGATATGACCATCTTGTTGCAAATTCAACTTATTAGAATTTTACCGGAGAGACTATTCTTCTGCATCTTCAGGTTGGGTTTCTTCTATTTTTTATTTCCAATTACGGATCACCCACCCAATCTAGTTCCTCTCTCAGTTATCTGATCTTTGCTTATGGATATCTCTCTTGACTTAGGATAGAATAAATGTTTTCTTCCATGCAAAGCACTCGTTTTATCTTTTTACCTTTATTGTTAAACACTAACATACTAACATTTTTTTATCAAGAAATACTAACATGCTGAAAACAACACACAATTGAGGCACCCAAGGCTATGGCATAATGGTCAATGAAGTGGGAGCAAACCTTGCAGTGGTGGAGCCAAAGTTTTCATTGAAGGGATTCAACTTTTGTAAAAATAGGCTACATCAAGCTTCTGTTTCAATTCAAGGGGATTCAACCCTTGTATTTATCATGCATTTTATTATTTTTGGATAAAAATACATGTATAACAAGTATAATGTTTTAGCAAGAGGGGTATCATTTGAACCCCCTTGCTTCAAGGTAGCTACGCCGCGTTTCTCATCTGCCTAAGCCCTGGTGGGTAGAGTTACAGGTACCCAGTGGAATAGGCGAGACGAGGTCAAGTTAGCCCAGATGCCACCATTATTAAAGAAAATACATGCAATTGAGACTCAAACTAGAGGATATCAACTACAAGTTCAACCACTAGGATCCCCACCATCCGCTACTACCTTATGCTCCTTTCGTCCATCCCCAACCAAAAATCTCAAAATAACTTAGAAAAAGATTTTCTTATAGAATACATTTTCTAAGTTACCAAAACACATTGAAATTTATGACCATACGTAGATTACAATGTGAGACATACCAATACTTGTTCGAGGCACAAAGGGACGAGGCCTCCTCGGTCGAACCAAATCTTCACCTTCCATTCAGAACACAAAAATAGCCAATTTGTCATGTTATGGACCATTATCAGAGTCACAAAACAAAAACAAAAAAATTATGAAATGACAGGAGAAGTAAAAGGAGAGAAACCTGAGAAGGGCGAATAATGAAGATGTGAAGATGTCGAGCAACTTTGAGAATCAAATCCCTCCAGAAAAGATAAAGGGGCTCCCAATCACTCCTCTGACCGCTGAATGCTTTGTACCTCGCAATCAACTTCACTTCATCGTCCCAATCAAGAACTTCTTTCCTCAAATATTCAATCAGGCTCGACTCCTCTTCTCCTTTAACAGTCCCCATTTGCTGGCTTTTGCCCATTAACTCTAAACCCTCTGAGAACGACAGACCTCTAAATCCCTCTTATGAAAACTGGGAACAGAAAAGCTTCAAATTTGTTTCATATAACTCTATTTGAAATTGCTAAATTTTCGAAATGGTTACACTTTTTGGTTTATTAGATCAAACTAGTGTATTGCGCAGACAATTTGATAGAATACTAATTTTATAAAATTATGATGTGATATATCATATTGTTGTAATAAATTATTTGTTTTATTTTTTAATGTAGCCTGCAGAAATACAATAAAATTGATGCACATCATATACTAATTAAACTAGCATGTACTTAGTACTATATATTTACTAGTGTGACTTTTTATTAACTTGTCAATTGACATAATATTTTGACATTACTTTTCTTTTAATATAACATGAATATACATTTTCACTTTGGGAATATTCTTTTTTTTAAAACTTGTGTTATACTGATCAAAAAATTTCAATTTTCTAAATTTATCAATAATTTTTTTGAGTGTTACTTAATTATATTTTAAGTTTTAATTAATTAAAAGTATAAATATCCTAAAATTATCTTTATCCCCATCTTTCCGTACATTCTTTTTTACTCTAATATTTGATTAGTTTTCTCATTTTATATTTTACTGAAATTTTAAATAATATAATATATTTTTTACTAAATTATAATTTTGAATTCATCACAAGTATAAAGAGATAAGTCTTTTATTATTTTTATAAAAAAATCTACCAATACCAATATTGTTAATAATTCTTTCTTTTTTTAGTGTTCTTCCTTTATAATTCTTTGTTTATTATGATTTCAATTATGTGTATATGTATGACTTTTGTTATCATAGTTCTAAGGCAAAATACATAAATACTCTATTAAACTTGTCCAAAAAATATATTTAAACACTTAAACTAAACGGGTATTCTTTTAACCTCCCTCCCCTCCCCCCT